GCCAAAGACGTCTTCTATTCAGAAAAGAAAAAGAAGTCAAAGAAAAAATGAGTCACGGAATTTATTTACTCAAAACTGCACACAGCAGTGACTTCAGTAGCACCACCAGCATCTGAATGCTTCCCAGGCTACGTCTGCCTGCACCCTCCAGACACGACCAAGCAAACTGCTCCACGGATACTGGAGAATATCTCAGTGGAAACTGGAGTCTGAGGTACCAGAACAGTGACATGAGGCAGAAGAGGTGATCAGTGATTTAGCTGTACGGTACCAATAGGCTCTTTCAGATCAAAGTTTAAGAAAGTCTCCTGTTGTGAATCAAATTCTCCCAAATCCCTTCTGTATTAGTCTTGAAAAGTTACTGCTACAGCAATATTTACACACAGACAGAAACTGTGCGTGTTGGGGCACTCACTTATCATTAAACACGTATATTTTTATTAATGTTTCCTGCATTTTCTCTTGTCAATAGTCGATAAAGCTCTCCATCAGACTAACATTCAGCACACTACCACTTCTGACTGACTTCATATACGAAGGCAAGATAAATCTCCTCTGTTCCCTCCACTTCGTTCATACAGTGATTATCTATACAGGACCATAAACATACACCAAGGATTGGCTGGAACAAAAGTAACGATCATTGCTGGAATGAAAACCATGATCATCACTGGGATTTTTTAATTAAACTCAACAGGAATTAAGTCAGACAAAACCAGGTACAGAGCAACAGCCGCAGAGAGATCACTGTTTGCGAGGGCAGATTTTCAAAGAGGAGAAGAGGAAAAAGCAAGAGAGGAAAAAGGAAACATACTTCAGCCACAGGAAAATACCTTATTAACTCTTCTTACCGCCTCCAGCTTGCTCTTCTCTAATAACAACTCCTATTCTCAATGCGTGTGCTCGCACGACTTCAGAACAGCTCCAGGTTTTCCCTTCCCGACCCGTAACGGTTTATCGAGCCCCTACGACACCCCCAAAAGCAGTGATCTTCTCTCAAAGCAGCCTCATTTTTGAGAGCGAAACCAGCCTATGTTAAAATTAAACACCGTGACATCAGTGCCAAATCCTGGCCAAACGCGCCTCAGCGCTGACCCAATTACAACTGGATGAAAAGGGTGAACTTCCAATTATCTGATAACAGAATCGGGAAGGAGAATTCGGTTTCCTCACGGAAACAGTTTTGCTGTCCCTTTACCGCAAAGCGCTGTATTTGAAGTTACAGGGGGACTTTTTTTCCTTCTTCTTCTTGCCCGTAGGTCAAAGAACGAGCACGAAAATGATTTGGCTTTGTAGAGCAGCTGGAACAGGGAAACCTTTGAGCGGGGTGAGGGCACGTGTGGATGCTGGGGAGAGAACGACGTTGGCAGGATGAAGGGAAAAATCTAAGGGCACGGCTGGCACCGCAGCCACCCAACCGTGCTATGCCATTTCCCAGAAACAAACCCGAGGTATTCTTCTCCATCTTCAGAAATCTTGCTTCAGAACATCGCCGGTTCGGTAGCAAGGCTGATTTTATTAAAACAAAATGAGATTCAAGGAGTTCCCTGTTCTGCAAACTGATGTATAACCTAAAATTATTTAGGGAGGAGGGGAAGAAATGACCAACCAAACTGTAGCTTAAAAATGCCCTAAAAAAATCCAGATAATATAAGAAAAATCTTAATTGAATAGAAGTAGTGATTCAAAACTACCTTTTAAAAAAACACCCTGTATTATTAGCTGCTGTTTAAAGAATCACAATATTATGGCAGTTCACAGGAAACGTATAGGATTTAAAAGCCTACAAGAACACAGCATGGTATAAAAGCCTTTGTACTGCTTTGACTTTTATTGACCTACATGTCAATTTACTCCTCCCCAAGCATTACAACCCTAGGTGAAAAAATCAAAGCAAGCCTCCTAGAAATGGATAAACCCAAGAGCTAAAGTGGAATGCAACCGTCATCCAGAAATTCAGCAGCAGCACAAAGGGTGATCCACTAAAATCAAGTTCATTTCCTGTAAATGTATTAAACCTCTGTTTCAAAGAAGCGCTAACATTGCTTTGTGTTTATTTAAAATCTGGCAATGCACCGTAATCTTAATTTCTACACTTTTGCTCCGATTAAAGCATTAATAAATGTATTCATATTTGAATAAAACCTATCCGTTCTGTACATTATCTTTCACAGTAGCTGAAGACCTGAGTGACAGTAGAGACCTTGGGCGTGCAATAAAAAGCATAAATTAATCTTCCCAGTAACAGTATAATAAATTGTTCTGCAGTGCTCAGTCATAGCCGTCTTTAGTAAGAAATATGTACTTTAAACATTCGCTACTCTTTCATATGGAAAAGGATTTAAGAAAGAATAACAGCGAATACCTTTAAATAACGGCGCTTTCACATCATTCACCAAACATTGAACAGATAGGTCCTTCAAACCAAGCCGCTCGTATGTGATTAATGTTAATTCTTATTTAAATTTTTGGAAATACCCAGCAAATCGACGTTTCAATTAGCGAAGCAAAATGGCCTCCTCTCCTGTTTCATCGCACCTTCGCTGGCATACAAAGCCGTCCTAAAAATCACTGCTGTCAAACGTGGTTCACATCTAACAGGTTTGCAAAAAGCGATCTCTATATCAATTCATTCAGTCCCTGGGATATCTTTAAGAGACCACCACATTGTTCATAAAGGACATTGGCCATCAGGCACATTAGATGTCCAAAACACGTATTTTAGTAAACACATGCAAAGATTTTAAAAGAAAATTATTAAAAATAAGTGCCATAATTCCACAAGAAACACCAGTATTGTCTGTGGAGCTCACTGCAAAGACAAAAGTGAATTTCTAATACAAAGAGCAGAGGCAAGAACGAAGCCAAAATGGAAAAAATACGTCCTTGAAAGCAGAGAGATTCTTACGGGAATTTAAATAAACAGCAGCTCTTCTAGTCAAAGGCAATCGCATTTTGTTCCCTGATTTACATGTCATTCTCATGGCAGCAATGTTCAAGTGACTGTACAGGGATATTCAAACCACAAAGAAAAAGCCCTGTAAAAAGGCCAAAGTTTTTTGCTATTCAAACTGTTCAGATTTTCCTAAGAGCTGCCATAATTTCCAGCTTTTTAACATCGCGCCTGCAGGAGCATTATATATTTATATATATTTATATATGTGTATAGGTAGATATATGTAACTGTAATGCTATACATATATATCCCACTGCAAATAGAAAGCACAACCAAACTTTGGGCTCCAATCTTTGCCAGAAACAACCCACGAGAGAACGAAAAGAGAGACATACTTACAAGGCACCTCCCAGAGTTAATTTGGTTAAAACAGCCCCTTCACCTTTGTACTCGGTGTTGTACAGAGCAACAGGACAACTGCAATGAACGCTGGCATGTCCAGGATAATTCTGTGGGACTGTAAACCTGTTTTTTCAGCCGAGTGCTACAGCTCTGCCTTTGTACGCAAACACCACACGAATGCAGGTGAGAGGACGAGGCAACTTTGCAGAGGCTCTCGTAAAGAGCCATGTAGTGAAGATGCAGCTATCTTGGGCCAAATTAAAAAATGCTAAGGTAAAAACCAGTCCCTTTAACAATTTAAGTCTTTGTTCACTCCTACAATAAAGCGGAGGATAAAGGGCAAGGTTTCCTTTTTCAGGAGCCACCTGAATATCCTCTTCCCAAGCGCTCTCACAAAAGTACCTCTCGTTTTTCTTGGAAAACCATAATGGTGGAAATGGAGAAATCAGCCCTGGCTCTGCAATAAATCCCTCATCCTCCCCCAGCAAGCCGTTAGTTTTCCAGTAGATTTACTTAAGCCAGATTTCGATAGAGCCCGAGTTGTCCAAAAAACCAAAAACAATGAAAAATTCAATGTTGGGTTTCACTTAGCTACACTCCAGTTGCCAGTAACAGACACCGCCTACCAGTCTACAGGAAAGTAAAGTGAAAACGCCTCAATGTCAGGGTCTTACATCTCCTAGGGAAGGCGGCGGTGCGCGGAAAACGTGTGTCGCTAAAGATGCCTTACCAAAATGTCCAGTTTTGGTATAAAATAATCCATGCATGATAAGTAATTCTAATGCTGATTAGTAAAGATTATTTTCTGAATAGTCTTTAAACTACAAAATCACCTTAGTTTGTTTTCTTTGGTTTTTTTTTTTTAATATTGCCATCGCAGGCCTTTTTAGTATAGGAAAATACACCATGTCATCCTTACAAAATATATTGAAATGAACGCAATCAGATGTTTTTTTGAAGTGAAAACTCATAAAGATCATTTTCCATGCTGACAGTGCGCATTTCATCCAGAAGTTTGAAGAGTCAAATGCTACCCCAGCTGGGGGTTATTCTGCCAAATGGCTTCCAACAGTGACCACAGAGATGGAGGATGGGAGGGGTGCGTGCGTGCGGAGGAAAATAAACGTGATGGTAAGCGAGCCCAAACCCACATCGTCTCAGCAAACAGCCGACACACGTAGCCAAACACACAATGCAAATCTAGAATGCAAAACTGAAACAAAAAGACAAGGGCAAAAGGAAATAAAGCCATTTGCGAGTTACCTGCAGAGATTTGAAACAAGAAAAAGCATACGAACGAAGCAGATATCATTCATATGGATTTGCCCAGGAAGGAGAAAAGGAGGGGTGAGTGTGAGGGCTGGGGGGGGGAGAACAGATACCTTTTTTTTCTTAAACAAATCCATCATGAAAGAAAATGAGACAAGATTATAAATAGGCCGAGTTATAGCGCACCATGGGATTTTTAATCTGGCTACCTGTGGTTTTTGCAGTTAAAGCCCTATTCAGCAGTGGGAAGGGAGGGGGAAAGCGGGAAAAAAAAAAAAGAAAAAGAAAAAGAAAAAGAAAAAAGAAGACCAAAATCACGTTTATGTGGCAGTTTCGCAAATGCTCACACAGCGTGCACCACCACCAAACGGGAAACCCTAATTATTAGCATTTTCTAATAAGCGGCCGCCTTTCAAACGTTATTGATCGTTACCTGTCCGTCTCGTTTCCTGCATTCTTGAGTTTTGCTCTCGTGCTCTGCCATGGCAGCGCGAAGCTGCTTCTCCAGTTTCTCGATTTCCCGTTGATGGTCTCGGACCAGGCAGTCCTTCTCTGCGTTGTGCTGCTGGAATAGGTGCGTCTTCTCCTGTTCATGCTCCAGCTTCAGCTCCACTATCTGATTGGACAGTGAGGAGTACAGTTCATCAATAGAACATCCTTGTCGTCATGACAACTCGTCTACAGCTTAATTTTCCCCTTAATTTCCTCAAGTTGGCAATTTTCTTTTTACGTCACTATTACCTCACCTTGTAAAAAGCCACCCTTAGCGTGACAGAATTCCTCCAGACAATCCCAACAATGGAGACAACCGAGCAAATCCAGCGCATCCTTAACCAATTTGGTGGTACAAATGTCGGAGCGTACGGGGAGGGAGGGGGGAGAGGGAGAAAAATAAATAAATTAAAAAAAATTTTTGCCTTGGTCGCATTCGGTGTCCGGTCCCCCCGTACGGACCCTGCCGCCGCGCATCGGCAGGGCTGAGGATCCTAAATGGTTAATAGGCAGCCTGCTCTCCCCTTCACTTAAGTATACACACGCAACCCCCCCAGCCCAAAAAGAAAGAAAGAAAATGATAAAAACCACAAAGCTCCATTATCCCGTTGTCAGCTACGCTATCCCAACATAAACAGATGTATGTGTTCCAGAAGGGCACCTGCTGTGCCGCAAGCTTGCGCCATGATTCCATAAGAAGCCCTCTATTCTCAGGATCCTTTCCCAGTCCGCACCACACTGGATGCTGTGACCTTGGCCAGTCAAGAAAGAAAGAAAATGATAAAAACCACAAAGCTCCATTATCCCGTTGTCAGCTACGCTATCCCAACATAAACAGATGTATGTGTTCCAGAAGGGCACCTGCTGTGCCGCAAGCTTGCGCCATGATTCCATAAGAAGCCCTCTATTCTCAGGATCCTTTCCCAGTCCGCACCACACTGGATGCTGTGACCTTGGCCAGTCTTAGCCTCTTCCCCGCTAGCCTGAATGGCAGCCCGAGACCAAGGGCCTGGTTGCCGCAGCTTTGATACTAATCCTCCCCGCCTGCGCACAATGGCACCCTACCTGGCCTGCACACTGGAGCAGCCAGGCTGCCTTTGAAGCAGGTGATGAATAGGGACGGCAGGAAGCCGCTTCCCCACTGAACTCCGGGCCACACAGCTGCTAAGAACAGTCACTTGGATTTTTCTTCAGTTTTGGTGGATTTCGGAGAAGGAGGAGGGGGGAAAAAAGAAGAAGAAAAAAAATGCTCTTATCGTGAATATGGTGGGTTATTTTCAGCGTGAGAAAAAAAAGAAGAGAACGGGAGGAGCCGGCTGTGTGTGCGCCGAGAGCGCCCCGGCACCTTATCTTAAAGCTGTAGCATTCAATTCCGGGATAATATTAGCGGTTTGCGTGGCTTTTGGGCTTAAAATTTGAAGCGAAGCAAAAAAACCCCGCGTTTTCTCCAACTACGGATCGGCGTATTCCAGGTTTAAAAGCAAAATGTGTCATCCGTGCCATGGCCGGGAGCATCCTTCCAATAAACGGAGCGAGTAGAACAGATGCAATATTCTACGGTTTAATGTATCTACATTATTTAATAATACTAAAGAGCTCATTAACAGACGCCTGGAGTCCCTGAAGGAGTTAACCCCCCAGGAGGCCTACATTATCTCTACTAGGCCTGCGATGCTTACACGAAGTTCTTTAAGTCAAGATTTTGCCCAAGGTTTGTGTACAAAACCGGTTTCTTTTCAGATCCTATCAGCGTCCTTAGTGCGCCTAAATGAAAGAATTCTTCCTCCCTAAAATAACTGCAAAGGTTTCGCCTGAACGATGGGAAAAAATGCTCAGTGTTTCTTGATAAATCAGACCTGAAACGGTGCCAACAAGAGAGGTCTTTTTACTCAAATATTTCCTTCTCTTCATTCTGATATTGAGCTGATTGTGCCACTTAAGGTCTGGGGTAAGAGAGGTTGTTGTGGGGAACTCCAGTTATTTAGGTTTTCGCTTTTTTAGCTGAAGATGAGGAATGGCAGCGGGCTGGGAACGTGAGCGGGAAGGGGGCAAGGGATGGATCCTGCTTCTTCAACCAGCTCCACACTAATGTCACCAGTTCACCCAACCAAAGTAATTACAGTTCTATTTAGTGATCTCTTCACCTACAGCACTCATATTATAGAAACATTATTTCTGAATTTAAGAGGTGGAAATAGCCAAAAGGGAGGGGTCCCCCATGCAGGCAGGCAGGGTGTCCCCCCAGCCTATGTGGGAACAGAAAGGATGGCAGTGTGACGGTGGGTGTTTTATAAAAGGTAAATTTGTTGAACAAAAAGAACATCACCACTTAAAGCAAAGTGTTCCCCATGATGGTTTTGTTCTGCTTTTGAGGTTTTTGGCAGGGAGCAGAGGTGGAGAGACAGGAGAGAAAGGATGAGGATGAGAGAGCACTGGCCCAGGCTGCCCAGAGAGGTTGTGGAGTCTCCTTCTCTGCAGACATTCAAAACCCTCCTGGACGCCTTCCTGTGTAACCTCATCTGGGTGTTCCTGCTCCAGCAGGGGGATTGGACTGGATGAGCTTTGGAGGTCCCTTCCAATCCCTAACGTTCTGTGATTCTGTGAGAGCATTTTCTTCCCCCAAGTGCAAAGACCTGGAAAACCCATCTTCTCTAATGAATATTCACAAGGAGCCCACATTTGTGACCAATAAATTTGCGTTCCTGTACAAGTGATGCGCAGTGACTGAGTTGGACTGCACTGGTGAACACCCCCTGAACCTCCCGTTCTCCTCAACTGCTGCCCAAGCTCAGTTTCTCTTCCACGCCTCCCTCTCTCATTCCTGTATTGTTCTTGTGGTTTTTTAAAGGAAAAAAAAATATTAATGTATACCAACAAAAGGTGGAAAAACCCCATGCTGTTTTCCAGCAGCTAAGCCACGCTGGTTTTCAGCTGCTTTATCACAGGAAGCTGCATGAAAACTGTATTAATTCTTCATAAATCAGTACGGATTCTGTCTCCTCTTTGAGGCAGAGAGTGCCTTTATGAATGCTATAACAAAACCACCGCCTCTAAAAATCGTATCATGTTGAGATCTTTCTGCATCTACCCCAAGATGCTTACCGCATCACCAGACCACATTAAAATGTCTACTCAAATCCAGCACCTAAGCGCCTTGAAGCCAGGTTTAGGAGCTATACATTTCAGACAGACAAGCAACACCATATCCACAATGGGAATTAGGGGCGACGCTGAAAAGATACATTCATTAAATAATAGTGTGCGCCCTATTACCATAATCAGATCACATTCATTGTGGTTTAGATGTTTCCTCATTTTGCCCTCCCAAAGATGAAAATCTCTTCTTCTCTTCTCTGTACATGTGTTCCTATCTCCTGGACTATAAACCAAGCAGGGCTGCCTGACCCCAGAGCTGTTCTTACCGTGACACACTCTTATTACCAAGTAACATGAGTATTTTAAAATTACCACCTCCTCTTACATGAATTCTTCATTTCTTATTTCTCTCTGCACCAGCATGACAGAGCCATATCCAAGGCTAACGGCCAACAGCCGATTTACTAAGCCATCGCCAGAATTACACCCTCGATTTTTAAATCTCTGCTTTTACCTGAAATGTAACAATATTCCCTTTCTTTTGCAGAGAAAAGAACTGAAATAAGATGACAAAATTCTTAACAAAAAGCATATTTTGTTATTCATCAGCACAAACTCACACACACACAGATCTGGCCACGTAGAACATGCCCACCCTATGCTGAACGATGGCTTCAACACAGGTAGACTTCACTACCCCTAAAAGTGGAGGTGCTTTACAATAACCTGCTAAAACGAGAGACAATCTCATCAAAACCCACAGGAAACCGCCTGCTGATTGCAGGAGAGATTTTCAGAAGCCAAATACTTGTAATACCATCATGTTGATACCTTTTTCAAGTCCCTAATACAGACAAGACCTTCTACCACCCAGTTTTTGCTTTTACATCACGCACTAAGTTTAGGCTTTTCAATTTTAGAACAATTTCAACTTGTTCTCAAGAACAAGTATGCCTTTGAAATTCTTTTTATAGTCCCCAAAGGAGGGAAAGGAAATTGGTTAGCTCACTGCCTCTTTGAAAAATGGAGCTGCTACAATAAATATTTGACTCCAAAGTATGAAAATCCATGTAAATTTATGTCTGCAATTCCAGAAATATTGTAAGTAACACCTATGTAAAATATAGTTTTGCATGGCAGGATGACTTTATTAGTGCTATTTTGGCACGACTGAATTTCTGAGGGCTGGAGAAGCCACCAGTGAGTTACAAGCGGCATGGCAAAGACCTGAACTAAGCTCATTCGTACAGCATGGATATAGTACATCTGTTTTTCAGCAATTCTATCATATGAGCATTCAGGAGTGTTTGTAAATCAGGTGTCTTCATTATCATTGCTCTGCTCCAAACCAGTCCAAACCTCTGCCCAGCGCAGCATACAGCACATCATCTATCCCCAAATTACAACTCTGGTGAAATCCAGCGTTTTCTGTCTCCTAAGCCTATAAATAAACGTGCATGTTTCATGAGGATATGGGGATTACCCAAGGCTGCAAATACACTGCTTCTAAAAGTAATCTGATATAACAGGCGGGAGGATCGAGTATTAATCACGCTGGGCTCCGGCTTAGCATAACTTTGGGCAGAAAAGAGGAATCTGCGCTGCAAGGCGAGGGAGCACACCACAACTACTTTGCAGCAGATGAATTCAATGGATTTTAAAAACACACAATTTATTTTTTTTGAGATTTTGCTATAATTTGGAAGACAAAGTAGTCCCACGATCAAAGGGCTGTAATGAGTCAAGGGCAAACGGGACAGTGAAAAATACAGCCGTGCAGTATCACATATTACCACTGAGGTAGCAAACACATGCAGGGTAAGGTACACGCATAGCAAATGCATTTTCCTTTCTATTTCACTGCAGGCTGCAATAATTTAAATGGCATGACTGTGCTTCGTGTCATACTTCACCTTATAATCAACCCTAATAACTGTACTGCAACTGCAAACTAAGCACTGCAAGAAATTGTCTCTAAGAGATGAGCTGGTCTTCAGCCAAGCTGCAGTTCGATTTATCCTCCCCGCT